GTGTTTGTGTGTGTGTGAGTGTGTGTGTGTGAATGTGAGTGTGTGTGAGTGTGTATGAGTGTGTGTGTGAGTGTGTGTGTGAGTATGTGTGAGTGAGTGTGTGAGTGTGTGTGTGTATGAGTGTGTGTGTGAGTGTGTGTGAGTGTGTGTGTTAGTGTGTGCGTGTGTGTATGAGTGTGTGTGTGTGTGAGTGTGTGTGAGTATGGGTGTGTGTGAGTGAGTGTGAGTGTGTGTGTGAGTGTGTGTGTGAGTGTGTGTGTGAGTGTGTGTGTGTGAATGTGAGTGTGTGTGAGTGTGTATGAGTGTGTGTGTGAGTGTGTGTGTGTGAGTATGTGTGAGAGTGTGTGTGTGAGTGTGTGTGAGTGTGTGTGTGAGTGTGTGTGATTGTGAGTGTGTGTGTGTGTGAGAGTGTGTGTGTGAGTGTGTGTGTGTGTGAGTATGTGTGTGAGTGTGTGTGTGAGTATGTGTGAGTGTGTGTGTGAGTGTGTGTGAGTGTGTGTGTGAGTGTGTGTGATTGTGAGAGTGTGTGTGTGTGAGAGTGTGTGTGTGAGTGTGTGTGTGTGAGTATGTGTGAGAGTGTGTGTGAGTTTGTGTGTGAGTGTGTGTGGAGTGTTTGTGTGAGATGAGAGAACAGCTGACTCACTCCCATCCCTTCCTTGCTGAGCTCTGCTGTTTCACTTTTGTCCTGTGTTATATCTGCCCTGACCGCACGGTGGCGTCATTCCAAGGGGGCACTGCTCCATCCAGTAGGAGAGTCAGCGGGCCCAGCCTTGCCTTGGTCCTCTAGGCCTCAGGCCCCCAGGCAGCCCGGCCTCCCCATGAGAACGGCACCGCAGGCAGGGCAGCCCTCGGCCCAGCCTCTGTGGCCCCCGCTGCCTGCCATGCGGCCCTCTGTGGGTACAGATGGAGGCATGGCCTGAGCAAGGTACCGGCTGCTACCCCACCCTCTCAAACCTGCCCAGCCAGGAGTCTGCCACATGGCAGCCCCAGCCTCAGGCCCTGCCGCCTGGGGCCAACCCCTCTTGGCCCAGAGTCACTCTGCTCCCTGCTGGGGCGATGGCAGGTGGTGCTGCCTGACTCTGGAGGCGGTGCTGACTCTCCCCTCCTGTCCCCTCCCCTCCCCTTCCCTCTTCCTCTTCCCTTCCTTACCCTCCCCTCTTTCCTCTTCATCCCCTTCCTCCCCTTTTCTCCCCTCCCCCCTCCCTCTCTTCTCTTCCTTACCCTCCCCTCCCCTTCCCTTCCCTTTCATCTTCTCCCCTCCCCTCCCCTTCCCTCTTCCTCTTCCCTTCCTTACCCTCCCCTCCGCTCCCCTCTTTCCTCTTCATCCCTTTCCTCCTCTTTTCTCCCCTCCCCCTCCCTCTCTTCTCTTCCTTACCCTCCCCTCCCCTTCCCTTCCCTTTCATCCTCTCCCCTCCCCTTCCCTCTTCCTCTTCTCTTCCTTACCCTCCCCTCTTTCCTCTTCATCCCCTTCCTCCCCTATTCTCCCCTCCCCCTCCCTCTCTTCTCTTCCTTACCCTCCCCTCCCCTCCTCTCCTTTCTCCTCCTCTCTCCTCCCGCCCTTCCCCGCCCTCGGCTGCAGGACAGTGGGCCACCGCCCACCGGGCCCCCGCTGGCTGCACAGTGAGTGCCGGACCTGCAGAGACGCTGCCGCCTGGCACCGGACTGTGAGGCAGGCCCCGCAGGCCTGTGCCTGAGCGTCCCAGCCTCTGAGCTGCAGCCCAGGTGGTGAGAGCCCTGAGTGTGGTCGCCATGGGGACCTGGCCCGGCCAGCCCGGGCCCGAAGCCCAGCCTGGGGACCGGGAGCTGAGTCTTGGCCGTGGCCCCTGCTCTGAAGCCGTCACAGCAGGGCCTGTGCTGGCCTGAAGGTGCCCGGAGATGAAGTGTGCCTGCTGCCGAGGGGCTGGCCAGCCGCGGAGGGTGGCCACTGTCCAGAGCCACCCGGCCTCCGCCCGCAGGCAGCGGCGAGGCCCAGGGAGGGCCACGGGCAGCTGTGAGCGAGGCTCCCGGGAGGACGGTCTGGGCCGCCTGGGACACTGATGGACGCGCAGTTGTGCATCCTCCGGCCACTGCCTGCCATCTGCACCGTCTGCACCGTCTGCACCGTCTGCACCGTCTACACCGCCTGCACCGCCTGCACCGCCTGCACCGTCTGCACCGTCTGCATCATCTGCACCACCTGCACCACCTACACTGCCTGCACCGCCTGCACTGCCTGCACGTGGAGCTGAGCTGCCCCAGTCCCGCCTCCCCCGCCTCCCCCGCCGCTGCTGTACCGGTTCCTGGCGCCCTCCCAGCCAGGAGGATGTGCTCCCTGCGCCACATGGGGCCTGGGAGAGCTCCCTGGAGGGCGGGCGGGCTTGTCTGCGGGAATAAATGCGGCCGCCAGCAGGTGAGCAGTCTTGGTTCAGTCCCCTGGCTGGGCCTCTGTGGCTGGGTGGGCGAGGATGGTGACAGAAGGCGCAGTGACCCAGGCTGTGGGCCATAAGCTCTCTGGCCCAGCCAAGCAGGCGAGGCGGACAGGTCCATGTGTGTGTGTGTGGGGGGGGGTTCCTATCTGAGAAGGGCATCTGATCACTCATCCTGCACCCTCGGTGGGTGAGGTGGGGCAGGGCATAGGTGAGGGCACACAGCCGGAGTGGGAGTGGGTCCAGGGCAGGTGGGTGGGCCCAGATGCAGGGCACAGGGTGCTAGTGAGGTAGGCACAGACACCACCAGGGGGCACACAGGAGGTGGGTGAAGGCTCCGGCTCGGTGGGACACTGCAAAGCAGGGCCCAGTGCGGCTGGCCGGGCACAGGTGAGCTTGGGCACCAGCCAGTGCCCCCATGTGGCCCACCCAGCTGTCTGGATCCCAAGTCCCTGGGAGGCGAGGCCGCCTCCCCCAGCCCTGGCCAGGCCCCTGCAAACGCAGGAGACAGAAGCCCCCCAGCCCCGGGCAGGGGCAACGGAGGCTCCCACTGGGCCAGTCTCACCACAACCCCAGGGTGCTCCCCCGTGACAGCTGGGGAAACTGAGTCAGAGTTCTACAGCTTCAGATTGAGTGGGAAGCCCGCAGCACAATGAGGGGTCTTCCAGGGAAGACTGGGCACCCCACCGAGGCCCACATCCGGGCTCCCAGGCTCCGGACCATGGGGGCCCCAGCCTCTCCTATCTGCCCAGTCCCCCCCCTCCGCCCCCCAAACACGTACACTGCTCGCAGGGCCCCTGCCCGCCGGCCGGGGGTCGGGGACGGAGGCCGGGCTGTGGGCGGCAGGAGGAGGAGACACCCTCCTGCTGGTTCGGACAGTCTGGCCAGGCTGCCCTTCTCCGCGGCCTCAGGAACAGTGCCTTGGCCGGGAGGACAGGAACGGGGTGGGTGGGAGGCCAGCCAGGGGCACCAGGCCTAGAAGGGCAGTGGGGCCGCTGCTTTGGCGTTGGGTGGGGAGCAGGGTGGCATGAAGCACCGCCCCCCCCCGGCCCCCATTACTGGGCGGCCTGGGCTGCAGTGAGTGGAGAGGGGACAGGCCGCATCCTCAGCAGGCGGACACAGACCCTCAACAGGCACCCAGAGGCGGCTATCAAGTCAATGTGGGGACCCCTCCTCTCCCCCGCAACTTCCCTCCCCTCCCCTCCACCTGTGTGCTGGAGCTTCAGAGACAAAGGAGACTGGCCAGAGCCGCTCAGTGCTTAGAGTGTCGGCCTGTGCACCGAAGGGTCTCAGGTTCGATTCCTGTCAAGAGCACGTACCTCAGTTGCAGGCTGGATCTCTGGCTCCGGTCTGGGCACTTTCAGGAGGCAACCAATTGATGTCTTTCCCCTCCCGTTCACTGTCTCTCTCTCTCAAAAAAAAGAAGTCAATGGGAAAAATATCCTTACTTGAGGATTAACAGAGAGGGGGGTGGGGGGAGAGAAACTCGGTTGTTCTTACGAAATATCCTGAAGATATCAGCAACTATTGCAGAGTCTGGGCCGAGTCCCTGCCACGGACAGCACAGGGGTGAGCTCTCCGTGCCCGCAGGCGGCTGCAGGGCGCCCACTTGACGCCACCTCCTTCCTCTTCCCAGGGCCGTGGAGGGCACAGCCAGCGCCCGCTCCGGGCCTAGAGGGGATGTGTGCCCTGCAGGGTGGTCAGCAGCCCCTGGAGCCCATGACGGGAGGCTGGGCTCCGACCCCAACAGGGACTTGGCCACCTCGCTTTCTCCTTCCTGTCTCTACCTCGCTCCACCCTCCGCTCCTGGGGTGAGAAGACCCCTGATTCCTGGGGTGTGGGGTGAGAGCGAGCCGTGGGGTGGGCGGGGTGGAGCTGGGCAGGACGGGGCGGGAAGGGCAGAGGCCTCGGCCCTCGGGAAGGCGGCAGCACGGGCTCTGGTGGCCGCCCTGAGGCCTCAGCCGCTGCCTCCAGTCCGGGAAAGTGGGGACAACAGTCTGCGGCCCAATGAGCTCCCATCTGGGCTCAGCACTGGAGGCACCCAGCCGTGTGATCTGAGGCCGGGGGGGACACACTTGCCTGAGCTCACACAGCGACGGGGGGGAGGGGGGGGGGGGACAGGGTCACTTGTCTCTCCCTCCGTCCGTCGCCGCAGCCCTGCAGGCACACCTCCACGTGCTCGGCGCTGGGACGGGGCCAGGTTCGCCGGTGGCCGCCGGCCCTGCCCCCTTCCTCGCGTGTGTTCTGCTGCTCGCTCCGCCAGGCCCCGGTCGGGCCACAGCTCCCCGCACGCGGGCCGTTGGTGCTGTTCTTCGGCTCTTCCTGTGGGTCTTTGCGAGACTGCTCGGTGCCACCTCCACAGAGAGCCCTCCGCCCTGGCGGTGCCGGCTGTGCCCTCTTGTTGGACCTCCCCCGAGGGCGGCAGCAGCACCTCACAGGCCTGCGCAGGGAGGAGCTGTTCCCTACTGTGAGACCAGGAGCAGGAGCGGAGGCGCAGGGACCAGGCAGCCTGACGTGCAGCTGTGCCGCCCACCACCCTCCCAGGGCACAGCAGGCCACCCCTGTGCCCAGGGGCTGTGTCAGCCCCTAAAGCCCCAGCACCCAGGCCCCTGCACCCAGGCCCCAGCACCCAGGCCTCTGAGCTCTCGTCCCTCCCCAACTGCTCGAGGGGCCACCCCGCTCCTTGGGTCTGGCTGGGCCTGGGAACCCCAGTTCCTCTGAGCACAGTCCTGGTGTGGCCTCCAGGGGCGGAGGGTGTCTGCAGGCTTCCCCTGGCCCCCCCTGGGCCGCTGCAACCAAGTCCCCAGGGGCTCCGGTGGTTCCCCAGGGCCGTGGTCAGCAAACTCTAGCCCGCAGAGCCAAACATCAACAGCACAACGCCTGAAATTTCTTCTGAGAGCCACATTGTTAAAACTTAAACTTCTTCTAAGGCCACTTCTTCAAAATAGTCTTGAGCCACACTCAACTGGCCAAAAAGCCTCATGTGACTCGCCAGCCACGGTTTGCCGACCATGGCCAGGGGTTCCGGGTGGACCCGAGGGGCTCTGGGTGGTACCTGGGGGTTCCGGGTGGTGGCGGTGTGATCCCCAGGGGCTCCAGGTGGATCAGGAAGCGGAATGCCTGTCCACGAGCCCTCCCCCAGCACGGCTTCCGTTCACCAGGAGGAACCTGAGGGCGGGGAGGCATGGTGCTGGGGTGGGCAGCCCACCTCACATTCTGCATGTCCCTCCTGGCCCCCGCTCTCATCCCTGCCGGGACGATTTGTGGCTTCAGTGCCCTGCTCATGGTGTCAAGCCTGGAGGGAGGCTGCCCCCGGCCCCTGCCACCTGCTGACTGTGGGCACTTTCCCTCGGAGCCCGGGTGCTCAGGCCCTGGGCCTTGCTGGCACCGGTGGGAGCATCACGGGGTCCCCGAGAGGCGCTTACCTATGCCATTCCCTCAGCCTGTCCCACACTCCTAGTGCCCACCCTCCCCCTGTGCTGGCCCCACAGCCGTGGCCCCTCTGGCCAGCTGGCTCAAAGGCTCTGCCTGGGCTTTTCCTGCGGGGAGCTGCGCTGGTGGCCAGCTGGAGAGGAAGGCGCAGCCGCCACGTCCATCTACGGGCCACCCTCCCCCGCCCCAGGGGGTCCGGGTGCCCCTGTGACCAAGGCAGCCCGGCCACGGGGAGGAGCTGCGCGCTGTGCCCTGGAGCCGAGCAAGCTTCTCTGGGGTCAGATTCCTGGTCCCCGCAGTCCTGCCACCCCCACTCCCCACAATCAGCCTGCACTCCCAAACGCCCCGCCTGGATCCAGGCTGGCAGTGCCTCAGAGAACAACACCCGCCCCTCTGCTGTCAGAGGGCTCCCCAAAACCTCAGAGGAAGGGGCCATCGGCCTCCCCTGTCACAGGGGGGCTGCCGGAGGCCGTCCCAAACAGCTTAGAGTGGGGGCTCATGTCTGAGGGGGTCCCCAGGAGCTAAGAGGGGGCAGCTTTTATCAGTGTGTCCACAGTGTTCAAAAAGGGCCTGCGTCTCAGCCAGGGCCCCACAGTGCGGGCAAGCACGTCACAGCCTCAGCTCCCACGGGCCAAGTAGACAAGGTGTGAGTGTATGTGGCCGCAAAAAAAAAGCTTCCGTTTTCATAGAAACGTAGGTTTATTCCGATAGAGACGTGCTGATTACAAAGGGCTGAAATAAAGGAGTCATCCTTAACATAAAATAACTGAACATTTTAATAACAATT